TGAAATCCTGCTGGCAAGGTGGAAAAGGACCACTTAAAAGCTGGAGGAAGGAACACAGATAAGGGTTCATTCTACAAACATCTGTGAGTAGTTCTACCCTGCACACATGTGGTCTCCATGAGTTGGAATCAACTTGATGGTAACTAACAACAACTGTAATGACAAACACAGTAATTCCATGATATATTAGTGTTGCATAACTTGTTTAACCAGCCCCTATTGATGGACTAAGGAACCCTGGTGGTGATGTGGGTTAGGCATAGGCTATTTGTAACTGCAATGTCAATGGTTCAAGTCCACCAGCCATTCAATGGGAGAAAGATGAGGCTGTCTGTGTCTGTAAAGATTGATAGTCTTAGAAATCTTATGTAGGGTTTCTATGAATTGGAATTGATTCGATGGCAGTGGGTTTGGTTTATTAATGGGCTTTGCATGAATAATTTCTTTTAGAAAAATCAGCATGAGGCTGGTATTTCAACTGTCTGACTTTTTCCAACATGTTATACAATTCCATGGTGTTTTTTTTTTAATTGTGAGTTGACTGAAGGTTTATGAAAAACATCATCAGTTTTACATTCAGCAAATCAAACACTTTGTTTCATCTCAATGATTACAATCCCCTCCATGTAAAAACAGTTATCCAGGTTCCTATTTCCATTCCACCCATCTTTCCATCCCTTCTCAACTTTGTCCTTATGTAAATTTTGCCTTTTTTTATTTTGAATGATTGACCATTGCATGGTGAGCATACTTTACTAGTGTTGTTGTCCTCCCTATATACCTATCTATTGATTGGCTGAAATTTGGGCAATGAGGGTGAGTTCCTTTCCAGACCTGAATGGTGGCCAGAGGCCATAGTCTCAAATTCCTTTAGTCTCTTTCTAACAAGTAAGTTTGGTTTTGTTTTGCTTATAATTTTGAGTTTTTGTTTCAAATTTTCTCCCACTCTATCTGGGACTTTCTAATGTGATCCCTTTCTAAGCAGTTGGTAGTGGTAGCCAGACACCATCTAGTTCTTTTGGTCTCAAAGTGGCAGCATCAATGGGCTCCAGCATGGCAACAATTGTGAGGTTGAACCAGGATCGGGCAGTGTTTTGTTCTGTTGTACATAGGGTCACTATGAGTCGGTACTGACTCAAGAACACCTAACAACAACAAAACAAACTGCCCAGCACAAACTGTCACTAAGTAAAACACTTGTTGCTACAATTACCTTTCCTCAACTGCTTAATACAATAAAAACAACAGAACTGCTGAGAGAATTTCAATTAAATGAGCTATTTACCTGAAATAGCTAAATTCAAAAATCTATCTTGTTGAAAATCTTTCTAGGATGTACTGAAATTCTATTTTGCTACTTAACTTGCAGTCAAGGAACCCTAACAGATTTTTATTTGTTTTATTAAGGATCTTCTAAGTCTCCACATAGCGTAGTGGTTACGAATCGGGCTGCGAACCTTAAGGTCAGTGGTTCGAAACTACCAGCCGCTCCGCGGGAGAAAGATGAGGCTTTCTACTCCCGTAAAGATTTACACCCTCGGAAACCCTGTACAGGGTCGCTATGGGTCGGAACCGACTCGAAGGCACTTAACAACAACAACAACTCTCCACATACCCAGCTGCAAATAGAGTCTGGAGGAGGATGGAAAACCCAGGATAACCCTTCAAAGTCGGTGTGCATTGCATTTTTATCAGAAAATTCTTTGAAAGCATTTATAAAAATAATAGCAAATAATTTTACCTAAGTGATTCTTGTTATTTGCAGCACTGTTGTTGTGGTTAGGTGCCATCAAGTCGGTACCACATTCACAGTGACCTTATGCAAAACAGAATGAAACATTGCTAGGTCCTGTGCCACTCTCACAATCGTTGCTACACTTGACCCCATCCATTGCTGCTGATATTGTGCCAACCCATCTCATTGGAGATCTTCCTCTTTTTCACTGACTCTCACTTTACCAAGTATGATGCCCTTCTGCAGGGACTGGTACTTCCTGTTGATGTGCCCAGAGTACAAGAGGCAAAGTCTCGCCATCCTGGCCCTCTTAAGAGTATTCTAGCTATACACAGATTTGTTTGATCTTCTTGCAGTCCATGATACTTTTAATATTCTCCTGCAACACCATAATTCAAGTGCATCAATTCTTCTATGGTCTTCCTTATTCATTATCCAACTTTTATTTACATAGGAGGCTACTGAAAATACCATGGCTTGGGTCAGACACCTTAGTCCTCAAACTGGTATCTTTGCTCTTCAACACTTTAAAGAAGTCTTGTGCTGCAGATTTGCCTAATGCAAGACATCATTTGATTTCTTGACTGCTGCTTCCATGAGTGTTGATAGTGGAACCAAGCAAAATGAAGTCTTTGACAACTTCAATCTTTTCTCCAGTTATCATGATGTTATTTATTGGTTCAGTGTGAGGATTTCATTTTCTTTACAATGAGGTGTAACCCATATTGGATGAAGGCTGTGGTCTTTGATCTTCAGCAGTAAATATTTTAAGTCCTCTTAGCTTTCAGCAAGCAAGACTGTATCATTTACATATCGCAGGTTGTTAATGAGTCTTCCTCCAATTGAAACTTTGACATACTATTATTGATAATGAATAACAAACATCACATCCTGTTAAGTTTCATGTTATATTAAGCAAAATTGACATCTGCTAAGTGGCTTTATCTTAAAAGCTTGAATTTAATAGAACTAAACAAAACCAGAGTCCTGGTGTGGCACTGTAGGAAAAGCACTGGACTGCTATCCACAAGGTCAGTGGTTCAGACCCACCAGTCACTTCTTGGAAACCCTACACAGGGTCACTACTCGAGATGGCACTTAACAAGAACAAACAAAACCAAAAAACAAATTTATTGCCTTAGAGTGGGTTCCAACTTATAAGGACCCCTATGGTACAGAGCAGAACAGCTCCATAAGGTTTCAGAGACTGTAAATCTTTACAGAAACAGACTGTCTCATCTGTTTCTGTGGAGTTATTAGTGACTTCAAATCACCAACCTTTTGGTTAGCAACTCAACACTTAACCCACTATACCACCAGGGATCCAGACCCACATATAGGACAAAAGAAAAACAATATTTTTTTAAAAAAGAGGCTTAAAAAAAAAAAAAACCTTTGTTAAATGATTAAGAGTTCTTATAATATTTAGAAGCATCATTGATAGCTTCTGGGCACAGGTATTATCAGTGTGGAATAAGCATCTTTAGCAAAGCATGTAAGAACACTTTTAAGCTTAAAAAAGAAGGGGAAACCCTCAGTTTTCATGCTTTAAAATAAGGCCATTTCCAAATTGGCAATCACAGAATTACTTTACATTTTTCATAGTGTCTTAAAACTTTACTACTGGCATACAAAAAAAATATCTGCAAGACCAAGGTATCCCCATTTCACAATGAAATTAGGTGTTCTGCTAAAAATCACAAATGAGGAATGAGGAAGTGTGTGGCTTAGCTTTGGAGCATCTTGTGCTAATACAAGTAAATAAGCAAAGAAATACCATAATCAAGAGGGAACTTCAACCTGAGAAATATCATAGCCAAGCAAATAAAAGGACAGCATCCTTTTGTATAGAAACTACTTCATATGCTTTGGTGACTTGTGAGTTTATGCACAGGGCAGGAGAATACTACTAAGTACTTTCTTAGTGGCAGGCACTTGTGAGGGGTTCGATAATCCACAGTCCCTGACTCTGAGTGTTAAACAGCAGTCTTCAAAGCAGACTCCTCATCAGCTCGCTCCCCTGAAATCTGTTTCAAGTTTTTACCAAAGTTCCCTCCTTAAGAAGGGCTTCCTTCATCACCCTATAGCTACCCTAAAATAACTCTCTTTCCTTTCTATACAGACTTTTTACAAATTTTAATTATCATTTATTATTACAGTAGATGCTGATGATTATCACTTAATGTTTTTTCTCCCATGCACATGTCAATTAAGAAAACATAATATATTGATCAGCACCTGGCCCCACCACCAGCACCCTCGGCGACTAACACAGCATATAACCATAACAGGCATCAAATACTTACCAAATAAATGAAAATAAGAATTGTGATGAGGGTAAGTTTCCTGATGATCAATATTGTCTGGTACTCACCTCTACTTGAGCAACATTGATGACCAGCACCACCACCATCAGCACTGCAAGCAGATAGCAGAAAAGTCGCAGTTTGAAGAAATTGGTCCACATTGTCGGACTGTGCTTTGATCATCCATGGCCGACACCATGCTACCTTCACTTCTCAAAACGCCATGTTTTGTTTAGTTTTAGTTTTCTGAATTGCAGATGAGCTTTCAGTTTAATTTGCTTTCTTTTTGATAGTATCCTTAAGGGTTCTTTGTGAAGAGGAGAGGCTGGAGTTGAATTAAGCAGCACATTTTTCTTCAAATAACTCCTTGAAAAAGGGGAGATGAGAAAACAGATCACCAATTACAATAGACTAGAGTAGGGTAAGAAGAAAGGCACCATATTTCCTCTTCCTTAATCTTATCTAGGACCCTATTAGGAGAGAGAAAACACCCAGAACACAATAAAATCTATTCCTTTCCAATCTCCCGAAAATTTCTTTTTCCATCCACAGGTTTCTATGTAAATACAGTAAGATTTGCCATTTAGGTGTTAACTTCTAAAAGACTGTCCTTAAACTTTTAGAAAAGGAGCTCTGGTAGCATAGTGGTTACGAATCGGGCTGCGAACCACAAGGTCAGCAGTTCGAAACTACCAGCTGTTCTGTGGGAGAAAGCTGAGGCTTTCTGCTCCCGTAAAGATTTATAGCCTCGGAAACCCTGTACAGGGTCGCTATGAGTTGGAACCAACTCCACGGCACATAACAACAACAACAACAAACTTTTAGAAATTGCAATATAATATACTGCTTCTCTTCTCTTAGAGTATAAGTTATAAGTTGCTGTTAGCTGTCCCTCAAGTCAGCCCATGTCTCATGGCAACCCCATGCACAATGGAACAAAAACCCTGCCAACCCCATGATTAGTTGCAGATTAGTCCACTGTGATAGTTTTCATTGGCTGATTTTCAGAAGCAAATTGTCAGTCCCTTCTTCCTTATCTGTTTTAGTCTAGAAACTGTTCAGAATCAAGCAACACATACTTCCACTGACAACTGAGTGACCCTAGGCATGAGATGCATTGGCAAAGAAATGAACCCAAGTTTCCCATAAGAAATAAATTCTACCACTGAGCCACCATTGCCCTCTTAAATTATACATTACTGAACAGTTTGAACAGTAAGATCAGTGGTTCAAACTCAACAACTGCTCCTCGGAAACCCTATACAGGGTAGCTATAAGTCGGAACAGACTCAACGACACTTAACAACAACAACATATGAAATCTCTTTAAAGAGCATTAACATGAAACTTTGTGTGTTTATAAGGAGTTCTGTGATATTGCAACATTCTCTGGAAAAAGAGGAGCCCCATTCCTCCATATGGATAAAGATAGGAAACAGCATTTGATTTTGAAGGCTGTCCTATCTCCTCCTCTATTTAGAGTGATCCTGATGGGGGAAAGCATGTGCTAACTACCAGTTCCTCCACTATATATGTGGCCCTGGTAGTCCCTCAGCTACGTAACAAAGATGAGGAAAGAGCCCTGTTCTGAAGATGTAGAAGAAACTTAAACTTGGGGTGTAGGTAACAGGACACCCAAATCCATCACCCCAACTACTAGAAGCATAGCCTGCCACTCCTAAAAATCACTGTTTTCCCACGTGTTGAATTCAAGATGTTTCCCACAGATGCTATTCTGATACAGATGAAAAAGGAAGTGCTAGATTTTGTTTCCAGTGGTGCTTTCCATGATTATAGGAGTGGAAAGGGGTGCACAATCAGAATGCTTGAGTCACACTAACGTCTCTCAACTTTGGGTTCAACCTGGAAAGCACCCTTACTTCATTCCTTTCTTCCACCTATCTAAGCCATATGCCTCCCAAATTAACAGGTCAACTCTGCCCCAATCCACTTGCCTAAGGGAGACCAGATAGTACTGCTGTACTATCCCAGCATGCTTTCTGTTCTTAGAATTCCCACAGCACTCGTGACTTTCACTTCTCAGCTGATCTCCATATTCGCATGCATTTCTTGCCTCCCCAGCTAGACTCTAGTGATTTTATTTAAAAAACAGAAACTACATAATAAAGATTAAGCAACCTAATGGTAACAGTTTATCATTCTCTTTTGACTTTCTCACCATATTGAGTTTTTAACCCATGTGGGATAAAGGACCTAGTTTTACACTAAGTAAGGTGATTTGTGTCTTTGGTTTGGGGAGAAATAACCCTTAGAGTAATTAGGATGCCTTGCTTTGGGACATCCAGGCCACACCTAAGAATCTCTGATGCAAGGAAGGGCTGGCCAGATAAGAATATTCACCTGGGAGGCCGATAGCAACTATCCTCACAAGGCATGATTTAGCCCATCATGCAAAACTGGACAATAAAAGATCTGAACACGGAGGCACAAAGAACTTCTCAGCTTGTGAGAACATATGCTCTCAAGAGGATAGCATATCCCTTGGGACATGGAAGATAGCATTGGGAACCCTCTTGGACTTCATCCTATGCATCTCTTCATTAGTTTCCTTTTTGGTGATAATAAATCTGTAGTTGTAAGCATGGCATACTCTGAATTCTATGAGTTGTTTCAACACATTATCAAACCCAAAAGGACAGTGGGAGTCAGTAGATTAGAAAGTAGGTGTGTTGTGTGGACTCCCAAGCTTGCACTTGGCATACTGCGAGGGTAACGCATGACTCCCAACCATCTCAGTGTCTAACCACTAGTCTCCAATTTGTGATCAGACAGTGAGAAGGTTGGGAGTCATGCTAACTTCCCAAATTTGTGACTGGTGTCTGCCAATTTGGTAATTTGAAGAACTGTATCCTTTTCACTTGTGAACCCTAACTCCAATTGCCAAAGGATCCAACAGTGTGGTGTGGGGGTAATTAGTGATGAGAGAAGAAAAATGTGAGGACTAGATCAATCTCAAAATCTTGGGGATTGGATTCACACTATTACTTACCATGCAACATAGTATGTACTGACTCAACAATTCATTAAAAAAATTTTTTTTAATCATTATCAAGGCCTACAGGTTACTGTACAAACTGCCAGAAATTTCCCCTTGAAAAGTTTATATTCATATCAGGTAAGGAATAGTTCCCCTTCTAAATTAAAGAGGAATAAATCTACCACTACCTGTCAATTCTGTAGGGATGCTAGGCACCATCATGAAAGACAGCCCTTATCTATCTCAAAAAACCCCAACACCCAGCTATTCATCCGTAAGTGCCAGTACATTCTGGGAAGGAAATGATTGTAAAATACAGGAAATAGCTGTAATACTCTAGAAATCCTTCTTTAAAAGTTAGTATTAAGAATCGTGGTTTTTCTAATGGCCAATGATGGAGAAGACAAAAGAGCCCTAGGATTTCAGCTATAGCATGGACGGGAGGAGGCCTGATATGGCACTGTAGGATAAGCGCTGGACTGGTAGCACAGTGGTTACAAATCGGGCTGCTAATCTCAGAGTCAGCAGTTCAAAACTACCAGCTGTTCTGCAGGAGAAAGATGAAGCTTTCTACTCCCATAAAAATTTACAGCCTCAGAAAACCTGTACAGGGTTGCTATGAATCGGAACCTACTCCACAACACATAACAACAATAACAGTGACCACAAGGCCAACAGTTCAAACCCACAGCCACTCTTGGAAAGCCTATACAGGGTCAACTATGAGTTGGAACTAACTCAACAGAACATAACAATAGCAACAGCAATGTACAGGAGTAGTTTATGAGCTGTGCGCACATTGGCAGTACAAAAAGTGTCAGTGTGGTTCAGAATCTGTAGTCCAGGTGCTGAAGGATGGCCAGGGCAACACACCCAAAAGCTAAAGGACCACCACGGCTATAAGTAGCAACACAAATAGGAAAGAAATCACTCATGGCCAAGGACTCCTACTGAAAATCAATATGGAATGTCAGCCAGGGAAAAAACTGACATCCTCCTACCAGTAAGCAGAGCCCTGGGGTTTGAGACCTCTTTGTACACATTAAATAGGTGTAGCCTGAATTAGCACCATAGTTTCATGGGAGATCTCAGTCAACTAGCATAAAATAGTTCATATAAGTTATATTTTATATCCTAGTTTGGTGAGTAGTGTCTGAGATCTTAAAATCTTGTGAGCTGGGACTTCTGGTTTGGGAGATAGCAGCAAAACCAGGTAGGGAACTCTCCATTGTGAAGGGACTGGGGTCTCACAAAAGAAGCGCTCATAGAACAATTCCAGAGCTCTGGATCTACCATAAGATCCAGGATATCAGTTTCCCACACTCATAAGTGAAAAAAAAACAAGATATTAAGGAAAATACTGTGAGTTAGGAATCTGGAGATGGGACTCTCTCTGCGGCCACCCCACCCTGGCAGAGTTTAGAGGGAAGGACTACAGCCAGTCTTGGCTCAGAAAACCAGCACTAAAAGCGGTGCAGAGACATTTGCATTAAAAAGAGGCACAGGAGACTACATATCTCTCCCTCTTTTTCCCTGTCCCCCCTTTGTTGCTCAGCCTGGACAACATCAGGCAGGACAGTTTTCCCACAGTACAGAGAGAGGGAGCTTGGCAGCGACTTACGACGTCACACACGGAGACACAGCCCTAAAATTTTCTCCTGCGGGACCCTTGGCAGCTGTGCACTGTGGAGTCGGTTCCAACTCCAGGTGACCCTGTGCAGGGTCTCCGGGTCTGTGGGTCGTTGCACGGGCTGAGCGCCTTGCCTCTCTCCCGCCATGCAGCTGGTGGTTTCAAGCTGCTGAACTTGAGGTTTGAGGGCCCATTTGTGGCTGCTGCACTACCTGAGCTCCCTGCACAGGACCCAAACAAAGCAACCTGTAAAACCCCAACATAAAAGGAATCAACCAGCTCAAGAATTGTACTGTGCACACACAGATACCTAACTGACCTTCAGAGACAAAAATAGTGGACAATCTATCTACCATTAACTTCTCAATATCTACCTGCACACCTCTAGTGTAGTGACTAGAGGAAGGGCCTGAGAGAGCAGACACCCTCACCCACTGCTGGAGGCTTCTACCTTGCACACATCCTGCCTGTGTATCTCGGGACAGTTGACCACAGCTTTATTTCTGTTCCAATGTGGTGGTTTTTGTCTCTGCATTTATATTACTTCTGTTTTTGGTCCTTTTGATCACACATTTTTCCTGGAGGTGGGAG